TTATCACAAAAGTGGTATTATGACATATTATGATACACTACCTTAAAATATAATTTATACATGTGTACAACCTGTCTTTCTCACATTCATGTGTTACTGCTGTGAATGTTGGAGCTGAAAGGACACATGATCTTGTGCTGTGTGGCTTGATTTCTATACTTCATTGAATGCTTTAGAGACAGCAGCAAAATGCTTTTCATGTATTTCTTGTATTTCTGAAAATTCAGATCTTTTACAACTGTTCCATTGTTTTCTGTCTACCTTTACTCATCTGGTAATTAGGAGCTTATAAAAGTATCATATCTACTCTCATATAACATCGTGCTGCACAATTCATGTTTCCTGGTTTTGTTTCTATCAAACGAGTTAGTAGTTTTCTTATGTATCATATAGTGTTAACATTTTAAGTATATCTACATTCAGATACATGACCTGTTCCATCTTCTCCACAGAGCTGCACAAGTATGAGTTTCTTGGCCTCTATTTGACTTTCTAATAAGACAGAGACTGTGTCCAAAGAAAAAAGCCCTTTGTCCTCAGCAAGTTGTTCATCATCCTTGCAATGCCAGTGTGACTGTGAGGCTGCTGTTTTTCATTTGTGGACAGTCATGATGGATAAGGGAAGTCCCTGTCATCTGGGAAAATGTTAATGTTACAGCCATCCTTAAGAAAGGCAAGGAGAAGGATGAAAGTACTACGGACATATCACCCTCACCTCAGTTGCTGGCAAGGTCCACGCACATCTCTGAATCTATTTCCAGACCTGTAAAGGACATGAAGATAGTCAGGACTGTTCAACATATGGATCTACCAAGAGCAAATAATGTTTGATTGACTTGACTGTCTACCATGATGAAAAGACTGTGCGGGAGAGAGAACAGTGGGTGTAACATGCCTCCAGTTTAGTAAGGCTTTCAAAACAATCCCCCAGAACATTCTCACTGGAAAACTGAGGAAGTCTGGACTGGACGAGCAGACTGTTAGTTGGGATCAAAGTGTAGAGACTGCTGGCTCAACACCTGTCTGGCAGCTGGTAATGAGCACATGGCCTGAGGGGTTGATACCAGAGCCCGTGTTGAAGGGCAGAGTTTGGCACCCAGACAGGATAACCTGAAGCACCGGCACAGGCCAGCAAGTGACTGACGGTCACAGCCCTACTGGAAAGGGTTTCAATGGACTGCAGGGTGGATAGCAGCCAAACAGTGCACTCTTCACCATAAATAAAACTAACTGCGTGCCAAAGGGGCTGTAGCTAGTGGATCAAGGGGAATGTTGGGAGCCCAGGAGAGGATTACCGGGATGGTCAGGGCCTAGAGCACACCATCACTGACGAGCACTTGAGGGGGCTGAGCTTACTTAGGTCTGCTGTGGAGGAGGTGAAAGGTGGTCTAACGGCAGCCTGCACCTGCTTGAAGGGTAGTTGCAAAAGACAGCAAATTTAAGCTCTTCTTGGTGGTGACATGCTCTTTAAGGAAGAGCAAGGGTCCCTGATTGGGATGTTCAGACTGAACATCAGGAAAATCTTCTTCATTAGGGATGTGATGTGGCACTGGAGCAGGTTATCCATGGAGGCTGGGGAATTTCTTTTGCTGGAGGTTTTTTGAGATTCTATTGCTGATGATAGTCCCATTCTGAGCATGAGGCTGGACTGGACAACCTCATGAGGGCCCTTCCAAGCTGCAGTTCTATGATTCTGCGAGTAAGCATAATTCTCCTGGCAACTATGTTCAAATATAAGGCAAAACTAGCAAAGTATATTTTCCTTCTGTTTTACCAAGATGAGTAAAATCAATATGATCAGCATTTTCTGGTTTAGATGCCTCAGTATTTGTACCTGAAATGGTGGCCTGTTTTTCCACAAATTGATTTAATTTTCCATTGTCATCAAAATATACAAAGCTTAGTTTTAATATTAGGGTTGGATTTTTTCTTTTTTTTTTTTTTTTTTTTTTTTTTTTTTTTTTTTTTTTTTAATGCCACAATGTTCTACCTATTTAATTTTTGCATATGACTTGAAAAAATTAGCCAGCGAGTTCACCTTCTCAGTTCAGCTATCTCATTCTGATTGTCTGTGGCTGCAATGCATGGATTTTATGATTTTCAGAGATGTCCAAATAATCAGCTGATGAAGTAGATCAAATAACGTCATGTGATAGATTATTTTTATCTCTGATATCAGCCTTTTTAATTTCTTGCAGAGCTATAATTAATTTCATTATTATTTTTTAATTTATTCATCTGTCTTGAATATCCACTATGCACACACTGAAAATACAAGCCTGAAGTTAAACTTCTCCCTGGATGATGATAACATATTAAATCTTTTAGTATTTTCACAGTGGTTGATTTTGCTCTTGATTGGCTTCAGAGTACATGCATTAATGCATACCGCTTTATAATCTTTTTTCTTAAACTACATTACAGCTAGATTAAGAAAAATAGGTAAATTATGGATTTAGATTTTGTGATTAAAAATTTAACTAGAAATACTTTGCTCACAGCAACTGCTCTGACCTCAATTATAAATGAAGATTATTACTATTACTGTGGTGGGCTGACCTTGGCTGGACTCCAGGTGCCCACCTAAGCCATTCTATCACACCCCTCTTCAGCTGGACAGGGGACAGATAGTACAACAAAGGCTAGTGGGTCAAGATAAAGACAGGGAAAGATCATTTGCCAACTACTGTCATGGGCAAAACAGTTTTGACTTGGGGAAATTGGCTTAATTTACTACCGATCAAATCAGACTAGGATAATGAGAAATAAACCCATATTTTAAGAACACCTTGCCCCCAATCCTCCCTTCTTTCTGGGCTCAGCTTTATTCCCAATTTCTCTACCTGCTCCCCCACAGTGGTGCAGGGCCAGAGATGTGATCAGTTCATCACTCTTTGCTCGGCTGCTCCTTCCTCCTCAGGGTGAGGACTCCTCACACTCTTCCCCTTCTCCAGTGTGGGGTCCCTCCCATGGCAGACAGTCCTCCATGAACTTCTCCAGCATAAGTCCTTCCTGTGGGCTGCAATTTTTCATGAGCTGTTCCAGCATGGGTCCCTCCCACGGGCTGCAGTCCTTCAGGAACAGGCTGCTCCAGCCTGGGTCCCCCGTGGGGTCACAAGTCCTGTCAGCAAACCTGCTCCAGCGTGGGCTCCTCTCTCCACGGGGCCACAGGTCCTGCCAGGAGCCTGCTCCAGTGTGGGCTTCCCGCAGGGTCACAGCCTCCTCCAGGCATCCACCTGCTCTGAGTGGGGTCCCCAGGGGCTGCAGGTGGAGATCTGCTCCACCGTGGACCTCCACGGGCTGCAGGGGCACAGCCTGCCCCACCGGGGGCTGCACCGGGGGCTGCAGGGGGGTCTCTGCTCTGGTGCCTGGAGCAACTCCTCACCCTTCTTCACTGACCTTGGTGTCTGCAGAGTTATTTCTCCCACATATTCTCACTCCTCTCTTCTGGCTGCAATTGCACAGGGGTTTTTCCCCCCTCTTCTTAAATACATTATCCCAGAGGCTCTACCACCGTCACTGATGGGCTCGGCCTTGGCCAGCAGTGGATTCATCTTGGAGCCGGCTGACATTGGTTCTGTTGAACATAGGGGAAGCTTCTAGCAGCTTCTCACAGAAGCCACCTCCGTAGCCCCCCTGCTACCGAAACCTTGCCATGCAAACCCAATACAATGATTCATCATGAAAGGTGATTCATTAGTGGCTCTCCCTGTGCACACAGTGCAAATACATTGCGTGCCAGATTGTCCTGCAGATGTGCATCAGTCCTCATGAGACAGGTCAAACTGAACGCCATGTCTGCACCATAACTGGAGGTGTGATTGTAAATTATGGGCAGAGTCTATCTTGCTTTATTTTGTATACCATGTATACCATAATATACATGTGAACTCTAATTTGGCAGAAGCAAATACTCGGCATACCAGTATCAAGTATTGCATTGGAATTATGAAGCTATTGATACCTGATTGAGGTGGAATAATATATAGCTCTACTTGCTGTATTCCTAATTCTTAGTTTATACGTAGAAAATCTTTAGACATGCTCAGAACTTGGGTTTCTTCACAGCGAAGTAATCAAGGCACTAGGTGAAGACAGTGGTATCTGTACTGGGGAATTTGTCAAGTAATGATAAAAGATGTGTAACACACAGAGAAAAAAGCCAATTTCTTCTCATTATTACAACAGGCTTCTCAGAATATCAGTGCTCTCAGGAAAGTAATTATTTGAGAATTTTCTCTCACAATGGTGAGCTGTTTGTTAAAAGTTCTGCAAACTTTCTGAAGAAAGTTTCTCCCCTTCAAATCAATATCAGTTGGAGATTTATTTCCTGGATTGTCTGCCATTCTTCCATGACCCAGAGAATATTGCCAGCAGTTTAGATGATTAAATTAAAAATAATGTTCACTAATGTTTAGAGTTAAGATTCCTTTATTACCTGACCTTCAGAAGTTCTAATTATTCACTGTTTCTAGCACTACAGTGGTTAAGTACTCTTCACTTACTATTAGTATGAAATTACTGTGGGCAAGAGAGAAAGATGGGAGTTGGGTCAGCTGAGAGAATTTAAGGTGAATTTTTCCTATTTTCAGTCGAGAGGTGTTTTGTTCCAGATCTCTGTCTACTACTTTTGTTTTATTTTATTATTGGTATTTGGACTCTGACTTCTGAGAAGAAAAGTAGATAACTAATGTGTAGGGAAGCAAGCATATTGTGGGAAAGAAATTTGTCTAATGCAGAGCACTTTTGTTATGAGTACATATTTTGGATAGCAGTGTGTTAATCTCATTAATTAGCTATCTCTTTACTTTTAAACCCCCAAATTATCTAAACCCTAGAAACTTTTTACTGCATTTTATCATTGTTTTTAATTTTCCTAATAATGATAGTATTAATAATATTTATAAGGAACTAGTTTATGGAAAGGAATTAAAAGAGTTATCAAATTAACATTATAGGTGTTTCCCTACATGATGGGTGTTTTTTTTCCTTGACCATAGGTTTCAGAAGAAGCTCTGCAGCACAGCATTGAGGACGAAGAATCTTTCCAGGGAATGGAGCCCTATCTTGTGCGGAGATTATCGTCCCGTAACATCCAGCTTCCTCCGCTGGCTTTCAGGCAGTTAGAACAGGCAGACTGGGATAAAAAGAATGATACTGAGACTATCCCAAGGCCCACAACTCTTCCACTGAGGATTCCTCCTCTGATTGCCATTACATCTGCTGAGTCCAGCAGGTAAGGCCCAGCAATTTCTTCTTGATTCAACATTTTCAGTGGCAGGTACAGGACAGAAGGTGATGCTTCTAGGACAGAAGTTTATTTATTTTTTAAATCCCTAAATAAGTAAAAAAGAAGAATAAGATATTGATATGTAAATTTGTGACTGACATTTGATAGTACTGCTTGTAAATCTTTTGGTCATGTCCAAATACAAACACCAGAAAACATTTTCTCTGAACATTATTAATACTTTATATTCGAAAAGAAGACTTCTGGAGGCTTGAATAACCATTTTTCCCTTATTATAATAAAGGTAGGAACCTTCTTATACACAGAAAATTTTTACATGACACAGTTTCAAAACAAGTTTCAAGGAATCCTGAGGATTTTGCCTGATCCTGTATATCTACATTATTTGTAATGTAAATAATTGAACATATTTGGTTACAGCGATTTGTATTATAGTTTCTTCATATTACATCTGTGACTTCTTATATCATGTACATTTTCTACAGTAATCTTTTGTGTTCTTAAATGTTTCTGATACCATCCTATCTTCCACTTTTATTTTCCAAAATGTGAATTGTTTAGTATGAAATTGTTGCTTACAATGGTGAAGGCAGTGCAGCCATTTTGTATCCCAAGGATATATAAGGAAAAGAAAAGATGAACACACTGAGAACTGAAATGCAGGACTTAGGAATTTTTTGACATACCTTCAGAAAAAATCCTGTATTCTGAATAATGTAGCTGTGAAAAGAATGTAGGACTTGTAGTACATGAGAAAAAACCATAATTCATTAGGGTGCTATGGCAAAAACCCATCTACTATTAATTTCAAATTTAATATCACCTCCCAAATCTTATTTCAATGTGGGTATCTTTATTTTTTGAATAAATTAGAAGAGTTCTTGAAATTCTTGTAGAATGAGTTCTTGAAATGCTTCTTGAAATACTCACTACATCCATAAAAGCATGTAAACTTTTAGATTGTTTACAAATGCACACATTATTTGGAGTGATAAATATAATGTTATTTAGTAAAGTTTTGAAGATAGACTGATGTCTTGATTTTTTTGTTCTCTATCCATGGAGGCTGAAGAGAAGATTGGTTTGAGATATGGAAGGAAAATAAATATAGGTGGAACGATTACAATTCACATTCCTGGCCTTTCTAAATTTCAGAGTATTTGGCTTTGAAACTTCAGTAGTATTTGGGATGTCCGGTGTAAACTGTGTAATACATAGAAGGTACTTTCTGTATTGTTACCTTTAGCAACACTGACTGAAAATTTTTTAAAAAAAGTATGCTCCTGATATGGTAGTTCAGAAAGCAGAATGAAAACCATCATTTCTGTCCTATGTAAAAGCCTAAAGGATTATAGATTTCTGGAGACAACATTATTTCTAGGCTGGATTTAAATATGCAAGAGTAAGACTGAAGGATATTCAAATAAGTAACAAACCTAAAACTTGCCAATTATTATGGGTAGCTATGTGCTGTACTCAGAGAGGGATCACTTCTGTAAGAGGCTTCCCTGTGGCCAAGATTCTGTGCTGGACATTAAGACATAACTTTGTATCCTGCCTATGCCATTCATTCCACGGGTTGGTAGAATATATTTAGAAACTGGACAAAACAAGGTTTATCTAAAAAAATTATCTCATATTTCTGAGAATGACAGGGAAAGAGCAGATCTATAGATTGTTGAATGGAGCTGCCAGACTATTTAAACAAACAAACAAACCAAAACTGAACAGAATATCAGAAGCAATTATAATTTTGATGTTTCTTTGTAATATAAAATCTTTAGCTTTTATGTTTCTTTCTTAGCTAAAGAGCAATTATGCTGCTTCAGGAAGAATATTGTTCAGGAAATTAAATTTATCTAGATATTTAGTGCCAGTTTTCAGTTGGCTCTCTAAAGCAGCTATGAATTTCCCATTTACACGCTTGTAATGCCAGCTTGAACAGCTGGAGAAAGCTATCCCTTTATCTGCCTTCTGTCTGCATGGAAGTACACAAACTTAGTACACAAACTTAGTACACAAACTATTTTGTCTGTGGAAATACAGCTTACCTCCATTGCCTTCAAATATATGAAAATATGCAGTTGAGTAAAGGAAACCAAAGGATGGGTGGGACACAGGATTCTCTGTCTTCAGTGGGTAGGTGAAGGTAGAAGAGCATTTGGGTCATAGACATTCTGAGGTGGAAGAATTTCACCACTGAAAACTTCTTAAATTACAAATGTATTTTTTTTCATGAATATGCTAAAACTTTCCAAAAATAGGATTATAAAGTATCTTATAGAACCTCCAGAACTAAAATCTGAGACAGTGGATGTATTTTTTTTTAAATAAAATATGCATTTTTTTCCTAAACACATGCGTGTGTACACACACACACACACACACACTCTCTCTCTCTTTTTCACTCTCTTTTTCTCTCTCTCTTTTTATCTTTATAATGTCTCAGGATTGTTTCTGGTTTTATGTGAGCTTTGTAGAGGAATGAGCTGCACTAACAAATAAATCTCTTTAAAAAAAAATCATAGTAGATGAAAAATTAGATAGTAAATGTTCAGTAATGTTTTTCTATATCTTTCACACTCTGTAAACTCTTACTCTTCTGACTCTAAGGAGACATCACAGTGTCTTGTCAGTCATTTCACCCTTTTTCTTTCGATGCATACAGGGAACCAGATCCTAATTTTTTTTTTTTTTTTTCATCCAGGTTAAACTGAGATAATATTAAAGACCACAGTTAAGATCAAGGATTTGTGTCAGATTGAAATTTTACATGCAAAATTACTAACATGAGCTCAAGGATTTGTGTCAGATTGAAATTTTACATGCAAAATTACTAACATGAGCTATAAAAACAACTGCTTGCAAATTGATAGACTGAACTGGCAGCTGGCAGCAACAGTTACGTTTATGAAAAGTAACACTTGCCAGACCTTCTATGGGCAGGATTAGAAACAGACAGGCAATTGCTTTTGACATTTCAGTTCTTCCTATATTTTGTTAATTTCTTAATAAGCAATATATTTAGCCTGTATAAATAGAATATTAAATGTGATATTTTACTGTAAGCTAGGATAGCTAGTATATTTGGAGTGTGAATGTGACCACATGCTTTAAATGTTGCCAGTTTTCCTCAAATAACTGTAACTGAGTTTATTAACAGTTTTGATGCAGGTAACAGGTCTGATGCCATTTAAGATGGTATGCACAGCTAGGAAGGGATTGACAGCAGAATACTTTTGCTTTTGCCAAAGCAGCTGTTATTAAAAGGGTGGGAGACTTATACATGGGAACTTGTTTGTTTGAGGAGATTTAATGTATTTGATCTTACCTTCTTTATGATAATTATTTCAAAGAACGTTTACTTTCCTCTAGATTTGTTTTGCCCAATAGCCACAGCTCCTACCCTGATTTAATACTCAAGCAAATATTTTAATTATGATAGTAAGTGCGATACTGTAAATTTGACTTCTTCTTTCAAACACTTGGATGTGATTTAGGACAGTTGGTCAAATCTATATATTATGATGGTATTGATTTATCTAAAGCTTCATGAAATATGGTGAAAGTCTCTTCCATTGCCTTTTGTTATGGAAACTGTCTATTTGCATTGTTTGACTCAGAAGGAGATGGGATAGGGGAAGATAGGATAGGATATAGATATTCTTGAGCTGGCTGGACCAGCATTTGTTGGACACTATGAAGTGTAATGGCACATGTACATACCTCACTCATAATGCTACAGATCCAAGGTGTCAGAGGCTGGTGTAGTCTTCTATTTTCCCTTTAAAGGATAGATTTTTCAATGACAACAGAGCAAACTACTCCAGTTGCTGCTGTGATTCTTCTGTTCTCTTAATACATGTGACTGACATTATATGATGGAAAATGACACCTTTATTGGGTGCAAAGTCCAGAAATGTAGGAGTACATTGTGTACCTGAAGACATCATTATAAGGGTTATTTGAAAGCAAAAAGTTATTTTGGAGTTGTGATGCAGTTAGAAAGGCTTTCGGTACAAAAATATGTAAAATAGGTTTTTGTGTTTCATTTAGTTATATGAAATTCAGGGTATATATTGTCTCTTCTTACTATTTACCCTATACTTTGCTCAAACATAATTTGGGAGAGGTTATTATAATTGTACAATGTAAGATGTATTTTTAATTGCCTTTGTATTGCTTACATACAACTGCAAGAGTGTATATTAGTGTGTTTATGAAACTCTAGGGAGCTACAAGAATGACTTACATGATAGTTAATTTCTGAAATATTTTTTTGTAATGTTCTTTCTGTCCTAATTTATCAGTTTTTCCTTAAGTTAAATTCTGTGAATTAGATAGGCACTGTGCTAATTAAAAACTTATTTATTTTATTATTCATTAAAGAAACAGTCAAAACTCTCTCTATTCATAAGCAGATAAAAACTGATTATCTGTTATCTAAACATTATCTAAAATTATCCCCAATTTTTCTTTATTTAAAGATGCACTTAAACTGTTTCTGTGTCTTAAAGGAAATAATTAGAAAAGTGTTATTAGCATCATCAGTGTAAGTTTGATACTCTGGCATTACAGACTGAGTCCCAAATTCAAACTTGCTCACTGTTTTCCTTCTGCCAGAGTACTACCTCAGATTACATTTTGTCTTCTGTAGTCAGGCACAAAAAGCTTTTCCAAATGTTAAACAACTGAAATGTGTGAATCCTGAGCCATAATTTTGCAGTTATTCACTTTACTATACCAGCAAAGTATTTTTAAACAACAGTTAGAATTCTAAGTTTTGGTTATTGTTTTAAGGAATTGAGTGTTAGAGAGAGATGAGGAAAGCAAGGAGATTGGACCTTAGCAAAGTAACATGTAATAAAAATAAAAGCTGAGGAAGAGCTGATCTTCAGATTTATTTATTTGTGACTCAGTAAGGTAGTGTATGTAGTAAAAATAAATGGTAACTATGGTTTACATAGTGCTGAAAGAGATCTTGC